TTTTTTTTTAATTTTTTTTCTTTATTAAGGTATTACATATGTGTCCTTATCCCCCCACTGTCCCTCCACCCTCCTACTCATGCCCTCACCCCCCTGGTGTCTGTGTCCATTGGTTAGGCTTATATGCATGCATACAAGTCCTTTGGTTGATCTCTCCCCCTTACCCCTACCCTCCCCTACCTTCCCTCAAGGGTGTTAAATTTTGTCAAATGCTTTTTCTGCATCTGTTAAGATGATCATGGCGTTCAGGTCAAGATGGTAAACTAGGTACTCTCTTCTTCCGACAACCACATCAAAGTTACAACTAAACTACAGAATAACCATCATTCAGAACCAGCTGAAATCTGGCTAAATGAAACTCTGACAACTAGGGAATTAAAGAAGAAGCCACATTAAGACTGGTAGGAAGGCCCTGACTGGTTTGGCTCAGCGGATAGAGCGTCGGCCTGTGGACTCAAGGGTCCCAGGTTCGATTCCGGTCAAGGGCATGTACCTTGGTTGCGGGCACATCCCCAGTGGGGAGTGTGCAGGAGGCAGCTGATCAATGTTCCTCTCTCATCAATGTTTCTAACTCTCTATCCCTCTCCCTTCCTCTCTGTAAAAAAAAAAAAAAAATCAATAAAATATTTTAAAAAAAAAAAAAAGACTGTTAGGAAGGGCAGAGTCATGAATAGACTGGTCCCACACCCACACATGGGGAATAAAAGTCAGAAGGAATATCTCAGCTGTGGAGGTCCTCCCTGAGGAGCAAAGGGCCCCAGACCCACATACAGCCCCCCAGCCCAGGGTTCTAGTGCCAGGAACAGAAGCCTCCATAACTTCAGGCTGTAAAAATCAGCCAGAATTGAGGCTGAATGAGATGGAGACTACTTACCTAATCCCTCCAGAATTTGGCAATTCTTAATCAGTGAGTCATGACGATATGTTTCTTTGCCTGAATTCAATAAGACCAGTTTCCAATTGTGATTTTATTAACCAAGGCTTTGGCTGGAATGTCATGTCTGAGAGAGACATGGATTCTGGATGTCACCAAAAAGCATTAAGGATGAAGACTGACTTTGTTGTTGTTAATCCTCACCCAAGGATATTTTTCCATTGATATTTTAGAGAGAGTGGAAGAGAGAGGGGAAGACAGAGAGAAACATCAATGTGAGAGAAACACATTGATTGGCTGCCTCCTGCATGAGCCCCGACCAGGGCCAAGACCAGGGAGGAGCCTGCAACCAAGGTACATGCCGTTGACAACCCAGGACCCTTTGATCCACAGGCTGATGCTCTATCCAGTGAGCCAAACTGGCTAGGGCTGAAGACTGACTTTAAAGCTAATAAAAAGCCCTTGGAGAAATGGCCTGGTACCTTATCTATTCACTAGAGGCCCAGTGCATGAAATTCGTGAAGGGGTAGGACCCCTAGCGGCTGCCGGCTGCCGGCTGCCGGCTGGGACCTTCCTTCATTCCATGCCACCCCCTGGTGGTTATCGCACATCATAGCGAGTGATTGAACTCCTAGTCAAACTCCCAGGGGGACACTTTGCATATTAGGCTTTTACATAGAGATATGGTTCATGGCAGTCTTTCCAGGTAAGGAATGAAGGTTGTGTTCCTGAGAGATGGCAAGGAAGGAACCTCAAGATATTTTGAGAACCTCAAGAACTTGAGGAATTCACCCAAGTCTATAGGTATTGCAGGAAAACCTGATGGCAACCAGGTGGCTTAGCTTATTTGCCCTGAGGGGCTAATTAAAACTTAATCATGAGATTCCAGCAAAGCAGATTTAAAAGAGCAATTGTTTATACAAATAATCAGGCCAAATTGGAACTGGACTTAATACAGTAAATAGGTTGGTTTTAATTTGGCTCTTTAATAAAAATGAAGTTAATTTAGGGGGAAAATTGTGTCTCAATAGCCTTTAATACACAGTTACAAATATTAGACTCTAGTTCAATTACAAGCTTTCTTTTTCACCTATAAACTAATCTGAATCCTGAATTTTTCTAATTTTCTTAAATATTTGACTACAACTCTTGAAACTAACGTTTCCTTTTTCTCCCATCCTTTGACTTGAAATTAAAATGTTTTTCCTTTTATCATACCATTTGTCATAATTCTTGTCATTCTAACTTTTGCTCCAATAATCCTGAAATTTGTAACAAGCCCTACTCAGGAAATATTACCGCTAGACACCATCACAACCTCCTTCTATGCCCAGGCCTCTCATCCCTCTGATAGAAATCAAGGATCTCTTGGCTCTGAAGGAAAATATCATCCCTCTTCAGCAGGAAGCAGCTACAGAAGAGAACCTGTGCCCTTTTCTCTGACAGAATTCAGAGCCAAGATCCTTGAGGGGGGAATGTGGTAGACAGTTAGACATGAGCAGAGCAAGGATGATGGGCCAGGTACAGAAGGTCACCAGAGTGGGCAGACCTGGGTGCCTAGCAATGGACAATTTAGGGTAGGTCCTTCCTCCCCTAGCATATCACTAGTCATAACGTTATCGCTGGAGATAACATCAAGGCCTCAGTTGTATTTCAGCCCCAGGCCCAGAGAAGCAGCAAAACCAGACAAGCAACACCGCAGCTGACCTCAGAACCATCTGTATTGACTAATGACCCTCCTCTGCCCTGGCACAGACCAAGCAATCAGTGGAGACCTAGACCCTGAAAGGACACGCCTGGAAAACTGAATATTCTATTGAGATCTTTTCCTGGGACTTCCCCTAAAATCTCCACTCTTAAACCCCTAGAATGGAAGACCCAGCTTGCTCACTCTCCCAGGAGCACACCTGCCTGCGATTTTCCCTTCCCCCTTCCCCATTCCCCGTGACATATTACCATTAGCTTCCTCATTCCAAGCTCCATGGGCCCTTCCTTTGCCTCTGTAACTTATTTCCTAAGCCCATTTCTTCTATGAATTACTTCTTTACCTCTGTGATTTTATAAACTAGAGGACCAGTGCATGAAATTCATGCAGTTGGGGGAGGGGTCTCCTCAGCCCAGCCTGTGCCCTCTCACAGTCTGGGAGCCCTGCGATCTATCACCCTGTAGAGGGAGGCCCCACCAACCCGCCGCAGCACTGCCACTGGGTAGCCGAGACCTCCCTCTTTGGGGCAATCAATTGCGCCCCACAGAGGGAGGCCCCGCCCACCTGCCACAGCCCACTGGTCAGTCGGTGGCCTGGACCTCCCTCTTTGGTTCGATCATGGGGTGATGGTGGGGCCCCTGACCAATTGCATCCCACCCACCTTGGCTGGCCTGGTGCCAGTGGGTGTCAAAGCGTGGTTGTCCAGATGGTCGTTCCACTGTTCGGTCGTTCCGCTGTTCAGCCGTTCAGCCGTTCAGTCGATTTGCATATTATGCTTTTATTGTCATAGATGTCCTCTTATAGTTTGAATCTTGGCTCTGAATTTTTTCCCAGCCGGAACCCAAGTGCCAAAGGTTGTTGAAGTACCCAGATCTGGTCTGACTCCACCTGGTGCCGTTCCTGCTGCCACCAACAGTGTCAGGCTGGAACATCCTAGGCACTGAATAAAGACTCGCTAAACTAAAAGCAGTTATTTTATTTGCCCGTTAAGAGAAAGAATAATTTGAGAGGTATGCTAGGAATCTGGTCACAATAACTCAAAAGCTGGATTTGAGGTAAACTGAAAGTAAGCGAAACTATACGCCTCGTTACAAAAAGAAAAGTCCTAAGAATGGGGGTTGTAGTTTCAAGGGAAGTTTTTTATTTGTTTTCATATGAGAAAGACTTGAGTACAATGTTAAAGGAAGAAGTATATGATCCTTTTTGCATGTATGTCCCTATTGTATTGTTTTTTTAATTCATTATTCATTCAACAATTTTCTTATTGAGCACCAACTATATGTGAGGAACTGACTGGTACAAATGCTAGGAAGACTTACATTTATTTATTTGTAAATAAAACAAATAAATCCCCTCCCTTCAAGGAAACTGTGTTACCCTCTCTTGATTCTAAAACTCCTTAAATTTCTTGAAGGAAGGCTCCCTGAGCTCCCTGCCGTCCAGCCAGGGCTCCTCTGTGCTCTGCCTGTGACCAGGCCACACCACCTCAACTGAGCTCACTGGGCCTGTCGCATGCTGCTATAGGCTGGATCTTCCTCCAGGACAAGGACCTAGTCTCTTGTCCCTGCGTCCTCAAAGCTTGGCAAAGCATGAGGTGGGGAGAGGAAGACTGACTCTAGGAAGCAGGTAACTCCACACAGGAAAGCTCACGTTTGCTTATTTGTTTTAACCTTAAGGAGCTGCTTATGTGCTAAGTATCTTGTTCAAAGTCACGGAGAAGCTTGGGTCTCGGTGGAGCTGAAAGGTCCTGACCTCTTGCCGATTCTGATACTTGATTACAAGCGCAACACCCACTGGATATTTTCATTTTAAATAAATGACTACTGCTAGACTTTCTTTTGTGCAGTGCCTGAAAGACTGAAGAGATAATGGGAGAAATAAGATATTTAGAAATAAGAAATATACTTCAGGGATTTTTCATAATGAAATGTGATGACCTGTCACTATTGACTAAAATAAATGATTCCCTGAAATTCTTATGGCTCTTTCCTTCCTCCTTAGGCCAACAACCATCCACCCATCCCCATTTGTCTCTTCTCAGAATAGGCAATTTCCTGTGCCTTCATCTGAGGAACAATGGAGTGATAATGAACTCACACTGCCCCCTCCTGGCCTAGCCATTCCCTAACAAGGAGCACATCTATCCACTCTTGCCTGACCCTCTTTGCTCTCTATAAAAAAAGAAAGACAACAAAATGCCCCCACAAAAGTCAAATGTCTTTATTTTATATTTTTAAAAAAAGTTTGTACAGTTTTAGTTCCTATGTTAAGAAAAAAAATCCCTAAAACTGCCATAATGTTTAGATTCACTGCAAACTGTAAAAACAAGCATTTTATATATTAAAAAAAATTTACATTTTACAATTTTCTACATGCATGCACAAGGTCTCAGTTCTGTAACCCTCCCACCCTCCCCCCCCCCAAAAAAAAAAGGAAAAAAGAAAAAAATCTAGATCCAACAGTAGAAAATTCTACATTTACAATCTCACTTGGAAGGGACTCAAAAAGCCCCCTTCCTTCGCGCACAGAACAAGTCACAACAATCACACACCAGGACCAAGTCCATCAGCAGATGCTGCCGTGGGGAGAGTCGAGGAATGACAAGACAGAGTGACAGACACCACGGAGGGTCAGGGAACTCATCAGAGGGTCAGGGAACTCATCGGGGCCCAACAGAGAAGAAGCAGACTCTGGGAAATTCGTGTTTGAGATGAGAAGGTCAGGGACCCACTGTCTCTGATGCTTGATGACAAGCACAATGCAGAGTTTGTGAAAGGAATTTAGGGGGGAGGGAGGGGGAGCGGGAAATGAAGGACTGAAATGGGGGGGATGGGAAGAAACATGAGAGATTAAAGGGAAATAAACAGATCACGAAGAGCAGTTTAGAGAAAGGGACCAATGGGGACAGCCACAGAGTGGCGAGGTAGGTGAAGGACTGAGGCACAGTGTCCTGATATGGAGGGACGGAGGAGGGTATGTGTTCCAGAGTGATGAGAAGGAGTGCCTAGTAGGTGTGAAGGGGCTGCACCAGGATGCCATGAAGTCATAGAAAGAAAGAGCAGCTGGAAAGACCCAGCCACTGCATCCCCTGGGGGTGGGGGCAGAGGCGGGCACACCCCCACAGGGAAGAATGAGCGATGGGGCAGGAGACGTGAAGGACACTGCTCAGAGGGACTTAGCTGCACGCCCCCCAGCAATTCACAGCATGAAGACAACCTCCCACCGAGGAGAAGAAAGGACACACAGCCACACACTTGACAATTCATCCTGACATTTTTAAAAAATAATAATAACAATCAAAGAAGATAAAGATACCACAGTTGTGACGCAAAGGACCAAAACACTATCATTCTCAGTCACGGCCCTTAGTGCTCATACGGAGAGCTGGGGGGAATTTTCTTTTTGCTTTAGGAGGAAGGAATGAAGAAATCACAGTGATTCAACACATGGCAGGTTCTTAAAATAAACACTCCCTGCCCCTAACCCAGGGCAGCAACTAAGACCCCCAATAGGTTCCCTCTCCACCTCAATCCTCAAACCACATGTCCCACTCCTGCCCACAGCGGCAATGACCGCAATCACCATCCGGGCCCCATTTTCCAGGATAGCGAGGTATTTAGAAATGTGACCCAGAGGGGCCCCTCCAAAACCAGGTCTTGGAAGGAAAGACACCTTCCCCATACCCCCAGGAGAGGATGTCCTTCGCTCAGGTCTATCCACAAACCCACAGCCCAGCTGGAGGCGGACTTCCGGGCCTGCCTAAGGTGAGCCCTGGCTGAAGAGCCCTTGCTTAGTAAGTGGTGGGTGGGGGAGGTGAGGGAGGGGGGCAGATGTGCTTTTCCAGAAAGGACAGCAGGAGAAACGCCAATCGCTAGGCTCCACCAAGCCCAGGACTGCCAGAGGAAGCCTCCCTGCTGAGGCATCCCTGGGGATCTGACCCCAAGCTGCTCTCTGCAAGGCAACAGCCAGTGAGTTTTCCGGGGAAAGACGGGCCTGTAGGGGACACTGTGATTTATTTAGGGGACAGACCCAGAGGCACACTCCAGCCCAGCCACCTTAAAGGTCTGCCACATGGGTCCTGGCGGGAGGTATCTGGATGCGTCCCAGTTCCATCCTCCCCCCACTACACCCCCTGGCTAAAACTACATGGGTTAAAGGCTCAGATTTACACTGAATCTATGTGTTAGAGGGCCAGCACATTTTGCTCAAAATGAGATGGAAATTCTCAAGAATTCAGATTGGGTGCAAAGACTATGAGAGCTAAATGGGGTAAGGGGCTACATACCCACAAAAGGCAGCAATCCTGGTCCTTCACCCCAATACAGAGGGAGACCAGAGCCCAGAGAACCAGGCAGAGGGAGAAGAGGAGGGGACCCTGGCCAGCCAAGGAAAAGAGACCCCTGAGACAAAGAGGTGGACTTAAGGCAGGGGACAAGGAGGAGCTACGGGCTCCCCCCAAGAAAGAGATGAGACAACAGGTCTCTGGAGCTGAAGGGAGGGACATAGAAACTGGAGGTGGCTGGTGGAAGAAAGAAAAACGTTTGCCTAGGACCACCGGGTGGGGTTGGGGCCCACAGGCGATGAATTCTGTGCAGGAGTCTACATGTCACCCTTTGCTGGGAAGGGGAACCTGGCCCACTGAGATGTTCACAGTGGAGTGGGGGGCAGGGATCTCTCCTGCCCTTCCCTCAGGGGCTACCCAGGAAAGAGCCATAAAAAGCGGGGACCCAGGAAAGGAGGTCACAGATGGCTTCTGACTCGGTTTTCCCATGGTCACGTGTGACCATACACGTCAGAAACAGACGGTGGAGATTTCAGGGTGAAGAAGGCATCTTCCCTTGCTCTGCATATGTATGGCTGGATGCGGGAGGCTCTAACAGCTGGAAGGAAATCACTCTGGCAGGGGACCCCTAACTTGGGGGCGGCGTGGGAGGACACAGGCATGCCCTTGCCCCAGGAACTCAGGACCTGTTGCAGGTGAGGGAGCAGCAGGAGGGGCGAATCACCTGCCACCTGGAGGTCTCAGGAAACTGCTGCCCTGGAGGAGTTTGGCACCGTGGTTCTCTGCAGTCATGTCTGTGTCCCCCAGAGGCAGCTTGTCAGGAGCCACTGGAAAGAACAGCCACGAGAACCTGGGTTCGAGAGTGGGGGCTCAGGAGAGCCCTGTGCACTTTCAGAAAAGACAGTCATCCGGGGAGAGGAGAGGGAGGGAGAGAGGCACTGATTCCTGCAGGGCCTGGACAGATACAAGAGTGAGGGGGGCAGAGAAGAGGGAACTTCCCAGGTACTGATGACAGCAGGATGGTCTCTCCAGGTTCACCTGGGGTGAATGAGGAAGAGGGGAGGAGACAGGGTAGGGGCAAGTTAATTCAAGTAAAAAAAAAACAAAAAAAAACATGAGGGCGAGGGCCGCAGGAAAGGGGCTGGACCTGAGTGCCCAGCCCTTCCCAGCGCCCCAGGAGCCCCATCTCCCACTCCCACTGCTGTTACACAGTCACACCGAGGTCTCAGACTGCAGCCTCATGACAAACTTGTGCGACTTGGGGTCCACAAATTCCTCAGAGAGTTTGAAGAATGGAACCTTCTTGGTGCTGACCACCAGGCTGAAGTCCTGGCGCTTTAAGAGGAAAACAATGCCATCCTTAAGGCCGTTGGTCACCGGCTCCTCGCTCACCAGTGTCCACTGTTTGGCCAGCCAGCGTTCCTTGTGGTACTGGATGGTCGGTCCGGCTGCCAGGTACCGCTCCAGGAAGGCCTGAGGAGGGGAGAAGGAGTGAGTCGGAAGCTCTCCCACCCACCCGCCACCCTGCATACCTTGGGGCTCCGCTTCCAAAGACAGCCAGCAGGCCCCTGCTCACTGGGTATTTCATCTCAGAATGTCATAGCGGGAGGAAGGCTGAAATTGTCTGTGTCAGACCCTTGCTTTATAAACGAGGAAGTGGGAGCCCACAGAGGTGATGTGGCTCAGCAGGGTCAGGACTGGAACTCAGCTCTCCTAACACCATCCTCTGCTCTTCCCCCTTACACCATGGGATGATCCGGGCAAGCCTCCCCGCATTCCTCCTTCCTCTCCACACAGCTGGCATGGTTAGTGACGAGCAGGTCGGCACCAGCAGAAAGCTAGAGGCATCCTGGTTAAAGTGCAACATCTTTAGTCACCCATGCACCAAGGATGGCTCCGGGGAAGCGAGACTAGGAAGTGGACAAAGAGCGGAGGGGTGGGTAATGGCTCAAAATGGTTCAAAGAGAACAAAAAAAACCAAAAACCTGGTGGAAGTGAAGGGGTGAATGTGGGGTTTTAGATCTGGAAATCTCAGAGCTTTTCTAGAGATGAGAAACAGGTCTCAGCCTTTCCCCAAATGGTCCCAAAGCTCTTCCTTCTCCTCACCACTAAGAACTTCACCACATGCAGAGATGGGTGGATGGGGTAGAAATGAGAGAAGAGACTATGAGAAGGTGGGGAGGGGAGGGGAGGGGAGGGGAGGGGAGGGGAGGGGAGGGGAGAAAGATGGAAAGTAAAGAAAGAAGTGAGAGAACAGGGGGAAGGGAGCTGGGGAGACGGGGCCAGCATAGAGGAAGCAGAGGATGCTGGGCAGGCGGAGCAGGCACCTTGGGCGTCATGTCATGGGTGATGCAGAACTCCAGGTGCTGCAGGATGCTCTCCATGGTGTGGTAAGGCTGCTGCTTGGTGGTCCGGAGGTACTTCTGCATGGCTCGGGCCATGGATGCGAAGATGGCCTGGGCCGCCTCCCGGGGGTCCATCACCTCCCTGGGGTTCTTCTGCTCCTCTTCCTGCAGCCGCTTGATGTGAGTGAAGGCCTCCTCCACCGCCACCACAAGCCTGGGGGACAGGAGGGGTCTGGAGCAGGCGCCCACCTCTCATCTTCCCCCCAGCTCCCGCCCTCCAGTAGCCAGAACAAGCTCAGGCCTTTGTGCTCTTGAGGAAGCAATGGGAACCCATTTGCAGCCTAGGGCTGGGCTTTGGGGACTATGTGTATTTGCATAAACATATGCTGTTTCGGGAGGGGGAAGGATTTTCCCCCCTGGGGACAGGAAACAGCTGTAGAGCTCAGTGAGCGCAGCCCAGGGACTCAAAGAGAGCATTCTAATGTCAAACCCAGAGAGCCAACCAAGAACTGTGCTATGGGAAGGACCAGCATTGCAGCAAATGCTAAGAAAAGCCTTCTTAAATAAGATGCTCAAATCACACTTGGCGGGGTGGGGGTGGGGGGGTGGGGGGATGAATAGATTCAACTACATCAAAATGACAGATTTCTATTCACCACAACAGCATGGACAACATTAATGAAAACCTCTTGGGGCAGAGAATGGGGGGAATGCAAAGAATTTGCTACAAATCAAGAAGAAAAAGGCAAAACACTACAGAAAAATAGGCAAAGGAGATGAACAAACAATTCACAAGAGGCCTAAAAGGCTAAAAAAAGTCTATGAATTAATTACTTGCTAGTAATTAGAGATATTTAAAATGTTAATAAGATATTACTTATCCAACAAAATGAAAAAAATTAGGAAGGTGCCTATAATCCAAATATTGGTTAGGATGTTGTGTGGATTCAATGAACTACTCTGCGAAGATAGGATGGCACACGTTGCATATTGTAGGCAACATCCAAGAATCTCAGAAACACAGTGTTAAAGGGGGACAGGAAAAATAAGCCAATTGACATTAAAAGCAGAGAGACACACACCAACACCAATATTCAGAAGCCCTTCAAATAGCTTAGAATGGGATTTGGGCTAAGGAAACCTGTGCGCACGGACAGGTTATCTGTGTACATCGACAGTCCCTCTGTCTATTCTTTTGCTTCTCCTCATTGTCTCAGTAAAGTTCCTTTAGAAATGATCCTTTTGTCTCAGATGAACCAAGGGGAAAGGGTCCCTATAGGCCAAGAATGGTGGTGGCCGTGGAGAAGACCCAAAGACCTTAGGCAAGGCAGAAGGTAAGGGAGCAGGGCACATCTCTGGTTTCCTTCCATGAGAGCGATTTCTACAACAGGAAACACACTGGAATGCTGCAGAAACGGGGTTGATGATCTTTGATCCAGTGCAGAGGCCACCAGGCTTGTGGGAGGACAGGCTAAGCGCTACCTTCCTCCCATGAGACCTGGAGATCCGTGTGGGAGGAGGGGCCTGAGACCTCTGTCCTCCCTGTAGAAATCCCGACAGACCCAGGTAGGACCTGACAGCAGTTGGCAGCAAGAAAGACTCTTCAGACCTGGCTGGTTTTGCTCAGTGGATAGAGCGTCGGCCTGCAGACTGAAAGGTCCCGGGTTTGATTCCGGTCAAGGGCACATGCCTGGATTGCAGGCTCGATCCTCAGTAGGGGATGTGCAGGAGGCAGCCGATCAACGATTCTCTATCATCATTGATGTTTCGATCTCTCCCTCTCTCTTCTCTGAAATCAATAAAAATGTTTAAAAGAAAGAAAGAAAGATTCTTCAGGTGTGACTTAAATTCACATAATAATGTGAATGGGAAAAAAGAAGCAGTGAGGACAGCCTTTTTGAATTTACCAAGATTTGGTAAATGAGGGCAGGAGGCCCTTATTTTCACAGGTAAAAATGTACCATCTGCTGAGCAAGCTTTCAAGATCTGCTGGCAGGAGATCTCATCAGCCTCAGTCCCTGCTGTCGCAGGGGAGGTTCACATCCTTTCACATCCCTGGCCCACTGTGGTCGGTGGAATTCAAAGATGCCTCCATCCACCTCTGCCAGGTTCCCATTCTCAATGATTCAATAATGTCGGCACATTTTGAGGATAAATTAAAGTGCCAAATCAGCTGACTTTAAAATACAGCATTAGGTCCAGCAAGTGTGGTTCAGTGGGTGTGTGTCAACCCATCAACCAAGAGGTCATCGGTTCTATTCCCAGTCAGGGCACATGCCGGTTGTGGGCTTGATCCTCCAATGGGGCATGTAAGAAGCAGCCAATCAATGATGTTTCTCTCTCATCCATCTTTTTATCTCTCTATCTATCCCTCTCCTTCCTCTCTTTCTAAAAAAAAATCAATAGAAAATATTTTTTTAAATAATAATACGAGATTGGACCGGTGATCGGTCAATATGGAAACATAGATAAACACAGTACTCACTGCCACATCAAAATTACCACTAAAATACAGAACAACCATCATTCAGAACCACCTGAAATCTAGCTGAATGGAAATCCTACAACTAGGGAATTAAAGAAGCACATCAAGACTGGTAGAAGGGACAGAGACTCGGGGTAGAATCAAGGAAGCGGCTGGTGCCACACTCACATGTGGTGGTTTAATATCAGGAGGGAGCCCAGCCAGCACGGCTCAGAAGTTGAGCATTGACCCATGAACCAGGAGATCTCAGTTTGATTCCCCGTCAGGTCAAATGCCCAGGTTTCGGGCTCGATCCCCAGTAGGGGGCGTGCAGGAAGCAGCCAATCAATGATTCTCTCTCATCATTGATATTTCTATCTCTCGCTCCCTCTCCTTTCCTCTTTGAAATCAATAAAAATTAAATAAATAAATAAATAAATAAAAATAAACAAGCAGAACAGAAACAGCCTCACAGATACAGAGAACATTCTGAGGGTTGCCAAGTGGGCGATGGTTGGGGGGATGAGTGAAAAAGGTGAAGGGATTTAGAAGTACAAGTTAGTCATCGCCCATGGACACAGACAATAAACAGGTGAAGGCCTGGGAAGGGTGAGAGATGGGTAATACTCTCAATAATAAAATAAATTTAAAAAGAGATTTACCTCTCATCTGAAAATAAATAAATAAATAAATAAATAAATAAATAAATAAATAAAACACGGGATTGTTATGGTGGACCTGATCTTTTCGTGTGAGCCCTTTGAAAGCAGTTTTTCAGGCTAGAGGGCCCCTCAAGGAGAAAGCAAACTGCATGCTGTGAACTGCCTACAAGGCCAGGTGACCAGGTTCAGCCAGCAACCAGTGAGCCTGGAAGACGACCCAGGCTCAAATTTCAGCCTGTGAGACCTGAATGGAGGTCCGATGAACCCCACCTGACACAGGGGCTGTGAGGGAACAGATGTGCGTTGTTTGACAGAGCTGCCTTCATAGTGATTTGCTTTGGCAGCAACAGAACCCGAATATACACCCTCACCCTTATCACTGCTCACCTGTCTATTTCCAATAGTTACAGAACCCGATGGTCCTCCTCTCCTGAGCCCATCCACACCTACTGCCCCCCAGGGACCTACCTGGCCCTCCGCTTGCGCACCCTCCGCTCGTGCTCTGCCTCCTCGTAGTAGTACTCATTGTGGCTGTTGTCCCGCCTCCGGGCTGCCGCAGCAATCACAGCCCGGGACTGGCCCGTGGAATTGTTGGTGCTGTTTTCTGCACAGGAGCAGGACAGAAAGGAGATGGTCACCTGGGAGCATGGCCTTGCTTCTCGCTGCAGGAAGTCTGGAGACAGCAATCTGACACATCTGAGGCAGCTGTGACCACCCCAACACTACTTCCTGTTCCCAACCCTGGTGGCCACTTCTGGGAGAGGCCCACTGGAAAACAGGTGGCACTGGCGGCAGAAGCTCTGCACAAGTTCCTCGCCAGTGCAGGAGGTTCTGGAGCTCAGAGAGCCGAGGGCTTAGGACCAGGGCAGATGAGCAGACGCAGAGGAGCCAGACTGGGGGATACACCATGGCATAAAGGGACAGCAAGTAGGATCAGCAGCTAAGACCAGCCACCTGGAGTCAAGGCAAAGGACAGAACAGAAGCGTCTGGGACAAGGGCCGAGGAAAGGAGAAAGCAAGGGAAGGAGGGGGCGAGAGGAACAGGGCGGAGGTAGCTTGGAGTCCTGCTGGGGAAGAGACCAGGAGGGCTGAGGAGCAGGGCCGCTCACCCTCTCCGAGGGAATACACCTTGAAGCCAGACACTTTCTTGGCCAGGACGGACTTGGGCAGGTTGAGAAGGGCAGGGTTGTAGACGGGAAAGTCATGGTAATACTTCTCCAGGATCCACACTGCCACGCGTTGGATGCTGTGGGGGAGACACAGGAGGGGAAGGGAGAAGGGACAGACAAGGGGCGCAGGGGAGGGGAGACATCAGGGCAGGTTGGTAGGGCAGGAAAGGACACAGGACAGGGACAAGCTGCTTCCAAGAAGCCTGGCTCAGGGCCTGCGGTCTACTTACCCGGTTCCCACGCCTTCCCCAGGGCTGGGCCTCCTAGTCCTTCCCTGCCGTACTGAAGCCCAGGGGAGAAAGGGCAGTGGGCCTGGGTCCCCAGCCAAGGGTCACTCATCCCTTTCAGGATTCCCCCCAAGATTCCCTATAGCAGTGGTCGGCAAACTGCGGCCCCTTGAGTGTGGCTCTTCCACAAAATACCACGTGCGGGCGCGCACGTACAGTGCGATTGAAACTTCGTGGCCACACTCAAGGGGCCAAAGAGCTGCATGTGGCTCACAAGCCGCAGTTTGCCGACCACTGCCCTATAGGATCAGGAAGTGCTACTGATACTCTGCAGGGTCTGGGAGCGTCCTGCCCACAGTATGGGTGGGGCGGGCTGAAGAGCTTCCCTCATTATCTTTTGCTCTGAGGGTCCCTCCTCTGGCCAGTGCAGCTCAGTGACCACTCACCCTGTGATCACAAGAGGCTGCACCTCCAAGAAAGAAATAGTAAAGCGACTCCCAAAAGCCTGTCTGTGCCACAGCTTTCGCCTCTTTGGCCCACCCCTCTCTGAGTTCTCTGCTTGTCCGTTCATCTGTTCGCCCCATCTTGTCCCAGGACCCTGCGCATCAAGCCGCAAACACTGTCAAAACATCCCATGTTCAAAGTACTGAACTGCTTCCCACACGGCCCGCCCAGCCCAGCATCTCCAGCCCCATCGTCGCACTACCCGCCCTGCGGTGCCCCAGCCTCCACCCCAGGCCCAGCTGCCGGCTCCCAGGCGCTCATACCTGAGATGGCCCACGTTGTAGAAGCGGCTGGCCCCGTCAGTGGAGCGCACGACCTTGAGTGTGAACTGAGGCTGCAGTTGGCGCAGCTCCAGCAGGACCACCGCCAGGTAGTGCACAAAGAGCAGGGCGTCCACCAGCGACACGGCGAACTGCACCACGCCCTGGTAGCTGCGCTCCCGGGCATCCAGGATGCGCACCCCGTAGAAGAGCCAGTAGGAGACCACGAGCAGGAAGACGAGCACCATGAGCAGGGCACGCAGCACGAAGACGCGGGGCAGCGAGGCCTTGGGGCGGCGGAAGAACAGCGCCCAGCTGCCCAGCAGCAGGATGAGCAGCTTGAAGGCCACGGAGATGAAGAGGCCCTCGCAGGCGGTCCCGCAGGGCTCCAGCTCCTCCCGCCACAGCAGCGGAGGCAGCAGCAGGAAGGCCAGCGGGGTGAGGAAGGAGAGCAGCGCCAGCGTGGTGCCAGCGGCCACCCCCAGGTGACGGGAGCAGTCCAGTGGGACACTGTCCTCCATGTCCTTGGCGATCCGCGTGAGGTCATCATGGGAGATGCTGTGCTCTGAAGTACCTGTGACTACGGTGGTCGTTTCCCCCCAGTTGTCATCCTACAGCAAAGGGGGCGAGGAGAACAGGAGAGAGGGCGAGGGGAGAAAGACAGAGGGGAGCGTGGGGGAGGAGAGGGAGGAAGAAGAGAGGGTAATCAGCAAGTATGCAGCCATCGAGGACTGAGCGCACTGCGTCCACGCCGGGCCTCTGCAAGAGGACACCTGAGGCCTGGGCCTTGGGGGCCTTCACACTGGGCAGCAGAACTACACATGCACAGGTGACCCTCAGAGCAGAGGGCACAAGGGAGATGCCAAGGGAGCTACTCGACAGTGACTGGGACCTGAGGTCACACTCATCAGACAAAGCAGACAGGAGACCTGCGATGCCAGGCGAAGCAAGAAACGCCTCTCCTCCGGGCACTGAGAGCCACTCGAGGCTCTGACTAAGGGGGTGAGTGAGAAAAGCAGTGTGGTGAAGAAAAGGGGACACTGGGGGAGGAGATGGGGAGGTGGATGATTAGTGCAGGTGTGGGGACCTGGTCAGACTAGGACCGCCCGGGCTCTGTGGTCTGCCCAGCCAGCTCTGCTGGGCCAGCTCCATGCCCACAGCACAGGGCTGCCTCTTCCTGGAGGCAAGGGGGTGGGCAGGCCGGGGCCCCCCAGATGCCTTTCTGAGTGGGGTCCACTCAAGCTGTTTCTCTTAAGAGGCTACATGCCGTCTCACAGAGGAGCCCAAGACGACAAGTGGGCAGTGTCCATCTCTCCACTCCTGGACAGCCTGGGCTATGGAGTCACATCCTACACCTGGGATTTAGGCTACACGCCTGAGCCCTGGGGCCTGCCTGGCAGAGTCCGTGATTAAGAGACGGAGGAGGCTCCTCTCCCACAGACAAGAGAGGAGAACGACCTGAAAGGAGAAAGTGGATGCACTGACCACTTTCAGCTCAAGAGCCAGGATCCACTCCTCACCCAGACACATCGCCCGCACTTCCCAAGGACCAAGGCTTGGGAACGCTTCCCAACAGCAGGTGAGCCTATCACACCTCATGCCGGGAGCCGGTCCATCCTTGCTGTTTCAAGGGACCTGGCATATATGGCATACTGTTCTTAATATGTTTGCTCACCTTCTTGGCACTATGTGTTTTAACCAAGGTCACCTCTCTGAGAAAGGTTGTTTCCCCAGGTAGGGATTTTCCCCTGAAGTTAGGGAGGGAATAAAACCCCTTAACTAAGTGCCAGGCGAGTAATTAATCACTTTAACTACGAACAATCATGCTTAAGCTACATAATCTTTACTCCCTGGAATGGAGATAAGAAATGCCCTAACCTTTGGAATAGAGATTGATAGGATTGGAATCAACTGGTATAAATACAGATGTAACAAGACAACAGGACACAGAACCTACACAGAACCTAGCGAGAGAACCTGGCTGAAAAACCTAGAGAGAGAACCTGGCTACAGAACCTGGATAGAACATGGCAAGAGAACATGACTAGAACCTGGTGACTGAACCTGGCTGGAGAACCTGGACAGAACCTGGCTGGAGAACCTAGCGAGGGAACATGGCTACAGAACCTGGCTGGAGAACCTGGCTGGAGAACCTAGCAAGAGAACATGGACACAGAACCTGGCTGGAGATCCTAACCAGAACTTCGCTGGAGATTCTGACCAGAACTTGGCTAGACATCCTGGCGAGGCTGCTGATCAACTGAACCTGTCTCCGTGTCATTCCTTCTTTGCCGACTCCGTCCACACCTTTGGGGACCCCTGGACCTGCTGGGGTTGGACCCCAGCAACCTCAGAGTCACTTCAAGAACTCAGAGCCCAAATCTCGGGAAGAAGGCAGGATTGCGGAAGAGGGAGAAAAAGCATTTGCATCCGGTATTGATCTGTCCCTGGAATTCCCAATGTCAGTCACAAGTTCTTGTGAGAAAAAAAAAAAAGGGCTGGGAATCTCCTGCCCCACAAGATGCTCTCAAGAAGGAAGAGGAGGAATGAGACACGGGCAACCTAGTCATCTCGCATCCTAGCTCTGCCCTGTTCTTGCACTGTGTTCTGCCTACTGACCTCCCTAGCAGGTGAGCACAGCGGGCCACCAGGTGAAAGCAGGAGTATCCGTGTCCTGGATACTCTTCCCAGCCCGGCTCCACACCCCGGCCTCACTTCTCCTCCCTCCCCTTTCCCCCTCCACTCCTCCCGCATCTCATTTACCCAACACCCAGGCGATGCTGTTCTGCAGGCCGACACCAGAGGGTGCCAGCGTGGCCTCGCCTGAAAGCTTCAAAGAAAACTCAGGACTGCCCATTCCCCAGGCCCCATCCAGCCCCCGCCCTCCTATGCTGGATTCCCAGGAGCCTGACTGACCAGCATTGGCCAGAGGAACCAGGGAATCCCCTACACAGCCCAGGTCACCCCCACCTCTCTGAAGATGAGGAAGAAGGAGACTGCTGCTTCCAAAGGGATTTCTACTGAGAGTCCCTCAATTCCACTGAAACAGTGTCTGACCCTGGGACAGACACACACCCTTTCCAGAGCTGGGCCAGCCTTCCAGCCCGCGCCCCCTAGTTCCAGCCCGCGCCCCCCTAGTGGGCCTCCGCTTCGCCAGGGTCAGTCTGGAAACACCCGACCTGCCCCTCACCCCCTGGCACTCACCCGCTCATCCCCGCGAGTGGACTCATTGTCCAGGAGGGGCTCCCCTGGAGCCTGGATCGTCACCGACTTATCCCCGCGGCTCCCATCTCGGCTCTTAGAGCGGTGTCGGTCCCGGCGGTCCCTGCAGCCAGGGCCAGGGGAACAGGCACAGAAAGGTCAAGGGGAGGACCTGGGTCTCCTCACAACCACCCGCACCCCACCACCCCCGCACATACCCACCGCCGGAGCCTCCCACCTCCCACCTCACTCTGCCACCTGGGTCACCTGTGCTTTCGGGAGCTGCGGGAGTGGCCCGACTTGTAGGAGTAGCCCGAGTACTGGGACTCGGTGTCCATGGCGTCGGAACGCCGCGCCTTGTAGCGCTCCAGGGCCACAGGCTGGGGCCTTTGGGGGGGCCCCACAGCCACCTCCTTCAGCACTGGCTTCTTCAAGCCGAAGGGCACCTTCAGGAAATCAACCGTCACCCTGAGGGACTCTATCTTGCTGGACGGGTGGGCTTGTCTCAGAGAAAATCAAGCGACGGCCCCTGGGGAGAGAAAGCAGCTAGTTAGGGGTAGGAGGTCCTGGGGGGGGGGGGTGTCAGCACGAAGCAAGACCACCCGAATGGCAGCCGCAGCAAGCTGTGAGCCTGGCCACTGCCTGAGACTCAAACATCCAGGTCCCTGCTCTATCCAGGGGCCCAGTTCTCCTGCCCGGCATCCTGCCAAGGGCTCAGGGTGGAGGAAGATGCCGGCAAAGGCCTCCCAGAGTGACCCAACCCTGGCGGAGAGACCCAGGGCAATGCTTTCCTATTCTCGGCCAGGGAAACTGAGGCTCAGAGAGGGTGGTGCCGGCCAGGCCAAACAGGCTGGACCAAAGGAGACCAACCCAGAGATCAGGAAGCAACTGGCTTCTGTCCAGGAACTATCCCAGGCCTCTTCTTCACCTGCAGTAACGTCCCCACCTCACAGCGTCTGAATGTGCCCACAGGGGGCTGTCTCTGACGATTCTCTTGACACCATCTCCCCAGCATCTACATCAAACACACCTATAGCTATGGTCCAGGTCAGCTTGGCTGCTCCCCTGGAGGCTGAGTGTCTGTGTGTTTGTGCACGTGTGTGCTAGTACTGGGCGGGGTGAGGGATGGCAAGGAGTGAGGGTTCAGGGAACCCAAAGGCCAAACATCCTGAAATGAGCAAGATGGTGAGTTTATCTATTTGTGGGCTAAGGGGCAGCATCTTTCACCTACACATTCACATTCTAATTTTGCAGAGGACAATGACCTCTCCTTCCCACCTTTCCCCAACTCTCACCCAAATCCTGCTCATTCTTCAGAGCTGCCCCCAGCCCTTCTCAGGAGCGCCCCCCCCCCCACCTACTCTAGCACCAATGTCCTATTGTCCCCTCTGACCCAGACCCCACCAATCACCATCATGCTCTGAGTGCTTATGCCCGATCTTCACTCACTGAGTCATCAACTCTTCCTCAGGCGCCTACTAAGAACTATGTACAGTGGGAAACCGCTCCCTAGCGGCAGCAGCGTCTCCCAGCTGCAGCCACCACCGCTCCTCCGCCAGTCCGTCCGCCCGCAGCATGAGCGGCCTGCGAGTCTACAGTACGTCGGTCACCGGGTCACGCGAAATCAAATCCCAGCAGAGCGAAGTAACCCGCATCCTGGATGGGAAGCGCATCCACTACCAGCTAGTGGACATCTCCCAGGACAACGCCCTATGGGATGAGATGCGAGCCTTGGCGGGCAACCCCAAGGCCACCCCACCCCAGATTGTTAATGGAGACCAGTACTGTGGGGACTATGAGCTGTTTGTGGAGGCTGTGGAACAAAACACGCTGCAGGAGTTCCTGAAACTGGCCTGAGCCAAGCCCAGGCTGGCCAACCGCATTCCCTCCCCACATTCCCCTGCCCCCAGCAATTGTGGGCCATGAAGGACCTCGTGACCAACTCCTTGTTACTCCTCACCTTCTGCCCTCAGAGCCCTGTCCCCCATCCCAAGCCTCTCCTCCTCCCTTTACCTGTACCCCCTCTCCGCATTCAGAGGCAGCATTCCTGACCCAGTAGTCTCAGAAATTGTCTTAAGCAACAGCCCAAGTGCTGGCTGTCTCAACCTGGCCCTGGGACTGCCACCCTGCCTGGCACTGGCTAATGGGCATCTTTGTTGGTTCCATTAGCCTGGGCTCTGCCAAAGGCCCCGCAACCCCCAACCTGGGAACACCCTAGAGACAATTAAATGTCCCATTCCAAAAAAAAAAAAAAAGAACTATGTACAGTGGGTATGCAGGGGCGAAACAGGCTCTGATTTACAGTCTGTGGGGCAGGTGTACATTGAGCAAGAAAACAGGTGAGCACAAGTGACTAACGTAGACTGATGGAAGGAGAAGACCAGGATGGAAGGAGAAGACCAGGATGGAAGGAGAAGACCAGGATGGAAGGAGAAGACCAGGAACCTATGAGCGACAACGCTGGGGAGAGGGGCTACTTTAAGTTGGGTGGCTCTGGAAAGTCTTCCTGAGAAAATGACACCTACGCCCGAAGGAGAGCAGGCGTTAACCAGGCAGAGTGGAAGGGGAGCCACGGAGCAGAGAATCAGGTGTGGAAGGCCAGCAGTGAGGAGCTGGCTGTATTTTGAGAAGCTGAAAGACCAGCGGAGCTGAGGAGGGGACAGGACAGTGGAAATGGGAGCTGAAGAGGCAGCCAGGCTATCACAGGGTCCGTGGGCCCAGTGACGGGCTCGTGGGCTATTTAAAACAATGGGAAGGCTGCACAGGACTTCAGCTATCAGACATGAACTGAAAGAGGAAGAGAAATGGGGAGATTAGTAAGGAAGTTCCTGCAGTCATGCAGGCTTGAATGGGCAGAGCAGCAAAGGCGGTAAGAAATGGCCAAGCTTGAGCCCAGTGTTGGTGGTAGGATCCACAGGACTAATGAGGCCTGGCTGAGGGGGAGCAGGGATCTCTGGCCTGAGCAAGAGTTGGTGGCAGTGCCGTTAGAGGGTAGGCGAGACTGTGGAGGAAGCAATTGGGCAGGGAAGACGATGCGCTCCGTTTCCAACGTGCCGAGGTCATGGCCTGAGAGGCAGGGGAGGAGGCAGCTGGTGTCAGAGGAGCTGGACTCAGAAGCTGGGGCTTCAAGATCATGGGAATGAATGGGATCACCTAGGCCAGTGTCAGCATTTTGAAAAACCCTAACTTAACTCTGGTGCCGTGTCACATATAGAAATTTTTTTATATTTGCAACCATAGTAAAACAAAGACTTATATTTTTGATATTTATTTTATATATTTAAATGCCATTTAACAAAGAAAAATCACCCAAAAAAATGAGTTCGCGTGTCACCTCTGACATGCGTGTCATAGGTTCGCCATCACTGACCTAGGCAGTGGTCGGCAAACTGCGGCTCGTGAGCCACATGCGGCTCTTTGGCCCCGTGAGTGTGGCTCTTCCACAAAATACCACGTGTGGGTGCGCACGTACAGTGCCATTGAAACTTCGTGGCCCATGCACAGAAGTCAGTATTTTGTGGAAGAGCTACCTCAAGGGGCCAAAGAGCCGCATGTGGCTCGCAAGCCGCAGTTTGCCGACCACTGACCTAGGGGATTACATAAGAGGTCCCTGAGAACCCCAATACGCAAATGTGTCCAGAGGAAAGGGAGCAGGCAAAGGGCTGAGAAGGTGAGGCCAGAGGAGTGGGCTTCCAGCAGCCGAGGTGGGAGTAAATCGGCCCGCTCAAGTGCTGCCAAGAGGTTGACTCAGTTCAGGACGAAAACGAGTTTGCTTCGTTGAATTGTTACCTTTTCCCCAATGAAACGACACCATCGCCAACATGCAAACAGGTACCATAACAGTATCCACCACCCTCCCATGGGCACAGAGCGCGTAACTGACACCCACCTAGTAAGTGAATATGCCCCTGACTCAGGGAAAGGGCAGTGAGTGCAGGAAGATGAAATCAATGCTAAGCCCACTAACGGAATTATCTGGAGGCACTCCGTGGCCTCGTGATGTCTGTCACGTCCCCGTGTCAAGGCAAGTGTGTGACAGAGACACACCTGGGAGACAGAGATGGAAGACCTTCACCCAACCCGACCTTTCTGAACGCCTTTACCACAAGCAAGCAGGGCCCTTGCCCATCGCTCTGTGTACAGTTCCCATCTTGGGCTCTTCCACCTGCCTCCCGAGAACCCACTCTACTGGCTTAGTCCTCACTATGCAGAGTGGAGCAAAAATAGGTTTACAGTTGTGAGTACACAAAACAGAGTTTACTCTTGCATTATTGATTATTATTGTATTATTTTCCATATGAACAACTGTAAACCTACTTTTGCCCCACCTTGTAGTTTAGATGTCTCCCTTGCCTCTCTCTTGCTATGGATAAGCCTATTCTTTTTAAAAAAATATATATATATTTGTATTGATTTTTTTTTAAATATATATTGTATTGATTTTTTACAGAGAGGAAGGGAGAGGGATAGAGAGTTAGAAACATCGATGAGAGAGAAACATCGATCAGCTGCCTCCTGCACATCTCCTGCGGGGATGTGCCCGCAACCAAGGTACATGCTCCCGACCGGAATCGAACCTGGGACCCTTGAGTCCGCAGGCTGACGCTCTATCCACTGAGCTAAACCGGTTAGGGCTGTATTGATTTTTAGAGAGAGAGGAAAGGAGAGGGAGAGAGCGATAAACATTGATGTGAGAGAAACAGCAAAACATTGATGGGCTGCCTCCTGCACGCCCCCTACTGGAGATCGAGCCCACAACTCAGGCATGTGCCTTTGACCTGGAATCAAATCTGCAACCTTTTGGTGCACGGGACAACGCCCAACCAACTGAGCCACACGGGCTCAGCCTATTCTTTCTTGTCCTCTTCCTAAAAAATGAATTTCACCAGGAGGTTCAAAGAGAGAAAGTGCGGTACAAACCAACGTGGGTGGAGACATTAAGGGGAAAAGGACTGTCATTGAGGTGCAGAGCCACCAGAACCCAGACTCTCCCTCTCCTCATCCACATTCAAACACTCACATCGGCCACAGGCACTGGCAAAAAAAAAGTCTGGAATTTGCACCCAAGGATCTGCATTCAAAACCTAGCTGTGACCACGGGCCGGCTGCTTCTCTGTGCTTTGTAGTCTGGTAGGCTCGTCAGACAGGGAAAATAATAATGCATACTTGATGGTGTGGCTGTGAGGATCCTGGGGGTGAAAGAAGTGCTTTTATAAACTACTCAGCTAGTAATTAAGTAAGCAATTAATATGCTCTGGCTCCAGGATCTCTCCTACTCCAATCCCCAGACACTTCCTCTGAGACTTGGAAAATAGGTGGTATAAAGAAATCCCGGTGTTAGTCTGCCTAAATAAAGTCTCTCACACATACACACACACTCAGACACCCCTGTGACCAAAACCACCACTTCAAACACACCCAGGAGGGAGGCTAATGCCATTGTGTTTCCCCTACAGATAAATTTCAGACCAGACCAGAGAGCCAGTCCCCTCCCAGCCCTTTGTTCTGAACTGCTCAGCCTAGAGCCCTACCGTTCTCCCAGCTACTTATTAAAGACCCAACGTAAAACCTGCTCCCCTGGCCTGCTTCTCCCACCCCGACCAAAGCACGCTCCACCCTCCCTTGCCGGTCAGAAGGGCCAAAAAATGAACCAAATTTCAGAGAACAATTTCTGTCCCCTCAAGTCCCCTCAAGTCATCCCAGCACGGGAGAGGCTGGAGAGGGGCGGTGGGTGAGCAGCAGAAGGGCAGAAGTTTCCCTGGTATAATCAGCCTCAGGAATCAGGGGTTTGGAGGGTCTCCAGAGCGGGCAGCGTTCCCAGGAAAGAGAGTGGGGGAGGGATCCTGGGATGAGATCAACAAGTGGAAATGAAGGGAAGCGGATTTGGTGTGGGGCAGGGAGGGCCTCGGGTGGGGGAAGGGGAGTGGCGGGCTGTAAAAGGGAATGTGTCCCATGGCTTTCCACCTTGTCCCCACCCCCAAGACACACACACATACTCAACTCTGTCCTCTGCTCAAACCAACCATGGATTATCTGGGGTTAAAAGGAGACCACGAAGGAGGGAGGGAGGGAGAGAGAGCCCGTCACAAAAAAGGAGACCCTTCTCCCCTCCAAAGGCCTTTCAGAAATCAAATTAATGGAATGTGTCTCAGTATCATCTCAGGGGGATTGGGGGGAATGTTAGGGAGGGTGTGGGGGCTTTTGTCCCAGCTGCCCAGCTTCTCCCACATGGGTCACCATGGCAACCAAAGCCCCCTGTTGCCTAGGTGATGGCAGCCGGTCCAGGAACCCATACCCAGTATCCAAATCAGGGAGGTTATGGAGGTGGGGGTGTTTGGGACAAAGAGGGAGAGAATGGGGTTTCTTCTCTGGCGGCCCCAGCTTTTGTCTGAGCTCTGGGATCAGGTTTCTTTAGGAAACAATTGGAGGCCTCTGGAAAAAACTACACTCAGAACCTGGCAACAGGCAGAAGCAAGGCCTTAGGGGGAGGGGAGAGGGGGAGGTTGGTATTGGCCGAAATGCAGACCAAGACTAGACCCTTCCCCACGGCCCCACTCGGAGGAGCAGCTCAGGGGGAAGAGGGCTTGGACACAGATGTTGGCATCCCCATGGTACCACCTCCTTTGGCTGCTCTAGTCCAGGGCCACCCTACTGCCCAGTCCCAGCTCCTCCAAACCCGGGATGGGGAAAGGAGGCCGGGCAGAGACGGAGATGGGGCTGGGGAAGGTGCTGTGGGAGCCAGAGAAGGAGAGGTGGGGAGGAGAGGGGAGGGGACAGGGCACAAACATGCACCTGAAAGAGGTGCTGATTGCTCCTCAACTTCGCCAAGGACGGGGCTGCAGTCAGTGGAGGTGCGTGGGCTGGTTTCAGAACGGACTACTGGAGGGGGTAGAGGAAGGGGAAGACAAGAAGCCAAAAGCGTTCCTCTCAAA